TCAAAAGAATGGTCTGTGGGCCTCCATGAGCCAGTACGCCCTTGTGATAAACAAGCTTCATTAACAACGCCTTTCGGACCGACCCTGTATAAACGTAAATATCTCTGTGCGCAAAACTATGACGAAGGTCCTTTCAATTTTCACTGTGTAAATAACAAACTGCCGCCACATGGCTCCTCTTGGTATACTGTATGTGGTACTCCATTTGAAAATCGTATGGAGTATATAATCGTCGTCTTGTCAACAATCCTCTTGACTGCAGGTTGAGTTTTCTATGGGATTTATTTCAAGGATCGTGATGAATCAGCCGCTAATCCATCTCCTAAAAAGTTGAAAAAGAAATTACGTAATCTTAATTTAGTATAAAATAAAAGTAGCCTATGTTACTCTCTATAAAATCAGATATCTTCCAGTGAAAGTCCCGTCAAAATCAGTCCAACCATTTCAGAGATTATCCCGAACAAACAGACAGACAGACAAAAAATTTAAAAATTGTGTGTTTTCTTATAAGTACCGTTGTTATGTAATCTTAATTTAGTATAAAATAAAATAACTATACTAGGATGTATCAATTTCATATAAAATTATAAGCTAAACTTTACAACAAAAAAATGCAAGAAGTTCATATTCGTAGGGTTCACACATCAAAAAAAATCTAACAATTACAAAATAACAAAAATAAAAAAACTACTAACCTGGCTAGCAACACAGCAGGTGTAGCTTTGAATTGTAGTCCCGTTATATCAGCACTCTTTGGCAATATAAATCTATAGGTTCGTCAGAGCAGGGGAACTCTCGAGGAATCTTCGCAATGTCCGTGTAGACACTTCGGAAATAATAGATACAAAAACCCTGTAACGTTATTATCAGACATTTTAATAAATTACTGATTTTTTACACCTGACTGCGACATTCGATCATCAATTGCAATATGTATTGTTACTACACAAAGCACAGGATTAGTAGTGTACAATATATATTAGCACCTGGGCGACCGAGCTTTGCTCGGAGTTTTTGGCCATAAAAACGTTTAACAAACAAATCTAATATATTTCGATACGTAAAACACATATTTACCTATTAGATATTCATATCTTAAAATATGTTGGTACCGGTTGGCACCAACTTCGAAAATATCTGATTAGGTATCTATTCAAAATGAAAACCCCCGTTTAGTTTATTTTTTACATTTTAGTGCCTGGAAGTCGGTTTATATATTTTTTTTAAGTTTTTATGTGTCCATTTTTAGTGTAGACGTAATAGGTAGGTAATTTGTTAAAAGAAAGTTTTTTTAATAACATGTTCGATTAAGCAATTTATTTAAAAAAATAATTTATTTATTCATTTAAAAAAATCCGCTTGACCGATTTCGATAAAATTTATATGAGACCACCTGGGAAGTATACCCTTTGAAACAAAAAAAATCCATATCGGTTCAGGCGTCTTCGAGTAATCGGTGAACATACATAAAAAAAAGATTCCGACGAATTGAGAACCTCCTCCATTTTGGAAGTCGGTTAAAAAGTGCAAAAGGGCAATTACAATAAAATGTCCGTGTATAAAATCAAAAGTTCATTTAGGAAAGCACATTATAATTTCATAAAACGGAATAAGTAAAAGTATTAATTAACACGTAGTTATATAAAAAATAATACTTTTTAAAACAGAGTAGGTACATGTAAAAGGAAGGTGACTATTAAATCTTACATCTAATACAATAACAAAATCATCTTACAACACTTACCCAGTCTGGGGTTTTTTGCACTTTCATTTTAATATTACAAATATAAAGTATAAAGTAAAAATATGAAGATTAAATAACTAATTTTTATGATGTTGCTTATCGCATCTTAACTCGTAGTATTCTGAGCTAACGGCGACGACGGGGCGTCGAAGAGGTAAAATACGGTCAGCAGTTATTATTCGTTTACCGTCCAAGATTCATATAATTATAAAAATTATAAAATATAGTTTAAAACAAGTATAAAATTTAGAAATAATCGTATATTATTAGAACATGTTACACCGTATATAGCTTCAAATGTATTTAGTAAAACGCTGTTATTTTGACATTACAAACAGACACTTCAATTTTATGTATCTGTATAGATAAAATAGAAAATCTAACGTATAAGGGATATTAATAAGAATATTTTTATAATAATTTTTAAAATCCAATTCGAAATATATGCCACGATAAAAGTCAAAGATAAAATAGTTATTTTAAAGGCGCAATACGAGTCAACTTTATTTTGCTCTTAAGTGGGCACCCAATGTTTAAAATGTATAGTGCGGAGTACCTTTTGTTATTTATATAATATAGATATGTCTTTTTCGGTCAAGAGCTCGTCTAAATCTCTCTATTATACTTATTCAGTTTTGGATAGGGAAAGATTAAGTGGATAAATTATTCATATACAGTATGTTTCAATAAGCGTAGTTACTTCTATTGTGCTTTAGGTAGTATTCAAAGAATATATGTATAATGTTCATAAATGTTTAAATTTTAGTAAGGTTAAGCCGAGAAAATTCAAGCAAAACACAATGTGTGATGTGACACACAAAGAAAATTGCATTAAAATAGTTATTCCAAGAAAAAAATATTATAGATAAAATAAATAAAATACTATACTATATCGAAATATCTATACTAATATAATAAAGAGGTAAAGATTGTGAGTTTGTGATATTGTGAGTTTGTGACGTTGTAGGGGGTAATCTCTGGATCTGTTGAACCGATTTAGATGAAATTTGGTAAAAGGATAGTTTGAGATTCTGGGAAGGATATACTATACTTTTTATCTCGGAAATCATCCCTTATGGGGATGAAAATGGGGATGAAAGTATGTATTTGAAATCAACCTAGGGACGAACCCTAGCGAAGCGAGGGTTAGTCGCTAGTATTATATATGTATGTACCTTCAGATATCAGGCGCCGGACTGACGGCTTACTATGTTCTTTGAGGCATGGAAGTAAAACGCAGCCAACTTCCCAACTTCGACCTGTTACTGAAAATGTATTAACAGAAAAACTCGAACGAGTGTCGAACCCAGGGCCGTAGTATACCAGATCTGCAGCCATAGTTGGCCACTACACTACCGAGACACTGAATATAATAATAATATCTGCTTCACGCTATCACGCTAATTATAATTATGACATTAGAGAAAGAAAGTTAATGAAAGTACATACGTGATGAGTGTAAACGAGATACAAGTGATTCGTCTTATGGTGATGCCGGCGCATTGTTCTTTTCAACCGACTTCAAAAAGGAGGAGATTCTCAATTCGACTGTATGTTTTTTTTTTATGTTTGTTACCTCAGAACTCCGTCATTTATTAACCGATTTGGACAATTTTTGTTTTGTTTGAAAGAGTATACTTCCAGATTGGTCCCATTTAAATTTCAAAAAAAAATACCACCCCTAAGGGTGGAAAAACAACTAATGATGAATTTAACCTACTTCTAATTGTCATATTGACTTTAAACTTTGCAAGTATTTCTATTTCCGTTGATAGTACAGTGGTTCGGTGTTGTTGACCTGATCTGATGGCAAGGCCAGAAGGTGGATAGGTGGAACTCTTCAACGGCTAATAGTAGTTACTTTGAGTTTGGGCTTATTTTGTTTGATTTGACAAGCCTAACACGTTAGAATCCTGACTTTGCTACTACTGTCTACACTAAAAAGGGAAAAATAAAAACTTTTTAACAAAAAAATAAAAACCGACTTCAAACAAAAGCACTAAAAAGTAAAAAATAACTGGTTGGTAGTTTTCATTTACTATACATACCTAATTCACTTTAAAAACGTCTAGATTTAAATATTCTCCAATGTAATTAGTCTCTGAGGTGAGTGGACCTAAGATATAAGGTATCTGGCTATTCTGACTTATAATTTATTATTATTTTGGACTTTTCTAAGGGAAAAGGTACAAATTATTTTTACTAAAAAATCTTAACGTTCAACACAGTTATTGACATCCATACTATTATTATAAATGTGAAAAGTAAATCTGTCTGTCTGTATGTTAGGAATCTTGTCATGCTTAAACCGCTTAATACATTTTAATTTAATTTGAACATGCATATTTCATCTTGGAGACGAAATAACTGCAATCTATGTTCCGCTTACCATTAGCTGCAGTAAAAAATTAATCATACAAAACATACGTTGCGGTTTACTCGTTTCTAACATATTTACACCATTTCTATAACTAACACAAACATTTGCTTTAAATAGAGATCGAACTCACTACATCCGAATTATGTAATGCAATTCAAATATGATAGCACTGCGCCTAAGCATCGTAGCAATTGCTTTATTTACTCTTATCTTTATTTAATTAAAGCACAAAAAATATTTACTTACTTGCTTATTGCTTACCATGGAACTAGATGGTGCTGTGTATTAATGTCCCAACAAAAAAAATAATAATAATTAATTCTCAAAACATTAAAATATTCAAGTTACATTTAAATAGTTTATCTTAAACTACAATGAGCTTAAATAACTTAATTTCATGAAATAAATAATTGTACTGTATTCAACCCTTTATAACATCCCACTGCTGGCCACGGGCCTCCCTTCAATAAGAGGGGGATCAGGTCATAGTCCACCACGCTGACCAAGGGTGGGTTGGCAGACTGCACATGTCTTTCGAAAACTTACTAAGTTCTCTCAGACATGCAGATTTCCTCACGACGTTTTCCTTCACCGTGAAGACAAGTGGTAACCATGTTGGAAATGATTCGCACATGAAATTATCAGAGGTGCGAGACCCGGGATTTGAACCCGCTTCACTTGGTTTCCCAAGCGAGCGCGTTACCATTGGGCAACAACTGTCTGAAACAAATAATTATAACACAAAATACTCGATTTCTTTTATCATATTATACATTTAACTAATAATTTACTGCATTATAGGCCTAAAGACGATTGTTTTAAAAGCGGAAGTTAAATTTCCAACGTCGCTGTGTGCACATGTCAGAGCTTAAGGCGATGCGGCAAACGCTATTTGGAACTAAAAATTATGACCCAGAAAATGTTGAGTGCAGGTAATAAAAGACAAGACTTTTAGCAAATTGTCACTCAGTTGTGGCGGTAACTACTATGTTCAGATTCCCTATTACAAATCGTTTGACGAGTCGCTATTGCTTATGGGTTTTTCTACTAACTTATTTACAAAGTTCTCTTTTTTGAGTTATAAACATACTTACTACTTGAGAGGAGATAAATAAATAAATAAATAAAAATTATTTATTGCCATAAAAACAGTAAAGAAGTTAACAGAATCAGTAGACCTTAAAGTAACTTATGGGTAATAACTCAGCTAATGCTGCTAAGACCGAAATCTCAAGCAGCGCTGATTTTCAGTAGATGACATGCTAGTTTTTTCCTCTGTCTAGTCTGGGGGCTGATGAGTATATTCAATTAGAGCAAAACGTTTTTGAAGAGACAGATTTTCACTTATTCACCCTTGTTACCTCTCTAAAACAAAGACCTTAAGTAAGAAAATGAGAAATATTACTTTCTGATCCGTCTAAACATCGATTTCTATATTTGATATAATTGGGAAAAAATATCAACAATCTATTTTTATTGTCAAAAAAAAATAATATTTTAAAGCATTTACATTTTTAGGTAACGATTAAGTTAACATTTTAAAATTACCTGTCTTTCAATATTTGATGTTTATGCACCAATATATAGATTAATTTCAATGGCAATATCGATATTTAATAAGGCATTGATATTATAACGCGTATAAATAAGGAAAACCTCGAACATTATTCATTTTCTTCAAAGACATAAGAAGAGTACCTAAAATGTTTAAATTTAAAGAGGTTTCTGAACAGGAATATAATGACTGTGCTAAAGGAATTATTAACCCTGAAACTTTTCATAGAAAATTTTTCATTTTATTAGGGATTTTTCAGGTTCTTGATGCCCCAATCCAAAAATGGACGTAAGTACGAGTATTATAATATGAATTGAAATATCTACATATTAATATTGTATATTTTATATTATAAATACTATGCGTTTTATCTTAAAAATTTATTTTATCTTTAATTCTCTATAGGTACTTCGCAAAGGCTGCGATGGCTTTTTGCGCACTGACCGCCGTAACTGCTCTTTCAATTGCGCTATACCATGGGATAATGATCTTTGATATTCCAAATATATCTGAAGTGGGAACGTACTGGATTGTTATGTTCTACAAATTCATGATACTTGTCTGCACTAAACTGAATGTGTCAGATTACCACCAGTTGCAATGTTCTATAAAAGAAGATTTTTTATATGCTTGTACTAAAGGAGAAAAGTACCGGTACAAATTAAATGTCCTCAAAATAGGATGTTTTAAAACAACTTTAAAAATTATAGATTTAAACGTCAAATTAAACTATTTAAATTTTCTAACATAGCTTATTCTTCTCGTAAATCGTTTGAAATTCTAATAAATAAACCCTTAAAAAAATATTTTATGTAGCAAATATTTTTCTTATAATATTTTCTTAGATTTACGACAACATTTGATTTAATTTTTGGTTCCCGACATTCGAATCGTCGGGAACCAAATATCAGCTTAAAGCCGCAAAAAATATTCTTATATAAAATGATTTTTCCTAGCTTCCTGATCTTTGATATATATATTTTTTTACATTTTGTACAGGAAAAAGTTCTTTTATAATCAAATATTCACACGGAAGATTTGCAAATTCACTATGGCTTTTACAAGTGGAGTTGGTACAGGCATGACGGCTTTTAGTATATTCACCTTGATATTTTTCATGGCTACACATGAGCCAGGAGAAGGGAAACGACCGCTCTTATTTCCTATTTGGGTCTTCAGTGTAGATTTAGGGGCAACACCAATTTATGAAATAGCCTTCGTGTATAGCTTTTTCTGTATATTATTTACTACTCTTAATTATACTTGTAAGTAAAATAATTATTACATATTATTATAATAATATAAATATAATATACATAAAAAATTTAATTATCTTACATATTTCGTTAATTACATGCATTATATTATGCATCATATTATTTTTTTCTCTTATATTTATATAATTAATGTAGGTAAATCTATGCCTGTACCTAAGAAATATATTTTTTTTTCATTAACGCAACGTTGTGGTACTCTCGTAGAAGTAAGTCTACGGACTACAAATAGTGTAATACTATTTGTAATCGGAGTCGCATACTATTTTAAATTATTTAACCACTTCCAAAAAGGAAGAGGGTCTATGTTTGTCTGTGTATATTTTTTTATGTATGTTCACCGATTTCTCTGAGACAGCTGACCGATTTTGCTACTTAAAACGGTTTTCTATTGAGGTAGGTCCAAAGGTGGTCGTGTATTTTTTTTTTGATTCAGAGTGTACCGTTTTCGAGAAAATAAAAAAAATCATGAAATTTGAAGTATGTTCACAGATCTAATTAGTCTTTTTTACCTTCTTCTAATTGTGATATCGGCATGAAATTTTGAAAGTTTTTGTATTTCTGATGATAATATAGTTATTTGGTATCATCGAGCTGGTGTGATAGTGGGACCTGAAGGTGGGTAGTAGAACTCTTTAACGACTACTAGTAAATACTTTGAATTTGAGCTTATTTGGTTTTATTTGATAAGTATCAATACTAAATGAAAACCGCCGTTCAGTTATTTTTTACTTTTTTGGTGCCCGGAAGTCGGTTTTTATTTTTATCTAAAAAGGTTTTATTTCAAAATATTCTCCGCTATTTAATATAAGTATAGATGCTTTACAAGAAAACTAATGTAATAATTAATTTTAGTTATGATTGTAACGGAAATAATGTGGATAAGAGAAATTGCGACTAAAGCTGATATTATTATTTGGTCCCTTGAGGATCTTATGAACGGTATACGACCTACTCAAGATAAAAACGAGCGAGCAATTTTTGATGCAACATTAAAGCATCGTTTAAGAGACATTGTACAACATCATCAGTCTATGAACAAGTAACTACAAAAAATATTTTTAAGCAATTATGTACAAAAGAACAATATATTAAAACACTAGAGCACAAGATATCATTAAAACAATAGAGCTAGAATCATAAATTTTGATCGTTTTTTTTTTGCAAATTGTGTCGCTGTTGCTGATCGTGTTTTGGTTTTTGATGTATATGTAAGCCTGAAAGAAAAATTCTGTCTTATTTCTTTAAATTGTGCTCTTCATTTTAGTTCCCTTTTCACATAATCGGGGTTTTTTATACTTTTTTTTATTCAGACTTTAGACAGACATAGAAGTTTTACCGTTTATTAACACCATCATATATATTGCATACCACTTAAGAAGTACTTATGCTAGAAAATTTTCTTATAAAAACTTAACTTTTAAAAGTTGTGAATAAACTTCCTGCTTCTTTAAATAGTGTTACTAAAGTATACTTTATATTTTAGATTACTAAAACATTTTGCTCAAGTTTATAAGAAATTGTTGATGTTCGAACAGAAAGTATCTGCGCCAGTGGTTTGTCTAGGCGCGTATTCCTGTTCTGTGGTAACATTTTATCTCATTTTTATTTATATAAACATTTATGAATTATTTTTTGTCTTTTTAAGTAACTTAAAGAAGTCATGTAAAAATTCATACCAATATATAACATCATTTAAAATTGACATTAATATTCTTAATAAATAAATAAATAAATATGTTGGGACATTAACACACGGCACTATCTAGTTCCATGGTAAGCTACGAGGCTTGTGTTATGGATACTAGATAGTTGATAAACTACACATATATAACTTTAAATACATACATAATATAAATATAAACACCCATGACTGGAGTACAAACATTCGTGCTCATCACACAAATGAATGCCCCCAACGGGATTCGAACCCGCGACCGCTGGTACAGCAGGTAGAATCACTACAAACTGAGCCAAACGTGTCTTCAATTCATGTCAGTTAATGGTTATCCATATATATTATCTAAACTAAAAGCTATTTTCTTTTCTAAGACAGCTAGTGGTGGTGAATTCAACGTTGCCTTATTACTGCTACTTATCGCTGTTATAGCAGTGTTATTTATTCCAAGCTATCTGTGCACTATTCTCTCGATGAAGGTAAAGTGTAAAAATAATAATTCTTGTTTTGAAGAATACTAAATAATTTTTTTCGAGTTTTGTGGAGTGTTTCCATAAAAAATGATATAGATTTAATTTTTGAGTTGACATAAAACAACTGTAACTTTAATGTTTATTTTTGAATAATAAATACGACAATATCATACGACAGAATAAATACGATAATTTCATATTTATAAAAATAATTTTTCGATATATTTCTATGACGTAGGTACTATATTAAAAAAAATTAATCAATTTTTTTTAAACAATATATGTATCATATTTAATGTATACTTTATATTATCGAAATAGGTCAGTTCAATATGCTTCGCATGTTGGAATACACCTTTTTGGAATGCCAGTCCAGTGATCCGGCCATATTTAGTACTTATCATGCAAAGGTCTCTCAGACCTCTTCCCCTTACAGTACTAGGTTTTGAGGATGTCTCAGTACAGACATTTTCTAAGGTAATATTTTTTTTATATTTATTTATCTTTAAATATCTGCTCTTATCTTTACTTACATATATTTCACTAATTTATTTTACAGAAAATGACATCAGCTTACTCTATGTTCAATATGCTAAGACAAGCAAACATTTGAATAATAGTAAGCAAGTTCTAAAGCTTTTATGAGATAACTATATACTAAAAAGCTTACACACATACATATCTGTAGTACTTAAAAATAAGTAAAGAGCACTTAAAAAATAATACCATCTTAAACTATAAGTATCACTTAAATTTTAATATTCTCACTTAAGCTTTAAATAAGATTTATTTGCCAAAAGGATCTTTTCTACTTTAATATTCGAAATTTTATCTTTTCTTATCATAATATTTGATGTAATAAAGAATATTATAATGTAATTAAATACCGATTTTTTATTTCTTGTGTATTATTCTGATTTTTAGCTCATTTTAATTGAAATTATTTTCTTTCAACTTGATATCCACATATCGGCGTTGAGAAAATGAGGTTAGAGTAGACTCTAACTCTTACTTATAAAACATGTGCTTTTGTCTCTTGGTTTATGCGTCTCTCAAAAATAGTATTACGAATTCTATAGTGACTTTTGTTTATTGGTTAACTTATCTTAATCTATACATATAATAAAATTGTAACTAAGCCGAATCTGTACATTAAATATTTTTTGGAAAATCTTATTGAAATAGACATTATTATAGATACAGGGGGGAAAATCTATAGTTTTTAGAATTTTTGTCTGTCTGTCTGTTTGTGTGTTACCGCATCACAGAAAAACCACTGCAGGGGTCCAAAACCACGTCAGTCAGTCGATTACATCCAAAGCTCGTTTTAATTAAGCTCATTTATTATGTAATAAATACAAATACACACAAAATTGCATACAATAGCTTGTGTTACATAATAGGATAAATCTTTTCAAATTGAGGAAAGTAACAAAATTAGAGAGCAAATAAGTGCCGGCGCGGGCTATGTATTTGTATCACCTTCAGCGCCGCACGCCTACGTGACCGGAATACGTATACTTCTGTTCAATTGATATACGTCCCCGTTTATTCCACTATTCCACTATATTTGTTTTAGATTCCAGATACGAATGAATCGACAATAAACCAATCCGATCCTAGTAGTTTTTAAACTTGCTACGAAAACTAAAAAAATATCGGCTATTTTTATATTCGAAATATGGAAATTGAAAAAGTATTGAAATGTAATTTAAATTCTAAATTAATAGCATTGGGTAAGAGTAATATAAGAGGTATAATTGAATATTTGAATTAAACTTTTTCATATGGTTAATCGAAAGGGCAGCAAGTGTAAATAGTTTATATTTAATCTGCTCTAAAATCGCAAATTGAAATTCGACCTACGCAAAAGTTTTAGCAAAACTTAAAGTTTATTTAGTGCAGTAATTTTTCGTATATTTATAATCAACTACACACAATTATTGCTTATTAGCAGGTCAATAGGACAAACAAACGCACATTTATTTTTACTGTACATATATATATATATAAAATTTCCATGTCACAATGTTAGTTACCGTACTCCTCCGAAACGGCTTTACCGATTTTTACCAAATTGTATATGCGTATTCAGTAGGTCTAAGAATCGGCTACTATCTATTTTTCATACCCCTAAGTGATAAGGATAAGGGTGGTTCTCCCAGACTCCACCCCAGGGACGAACCCGAGCGGAGCGAGGGTGAGTCGCTAGTATATATATATATATATAGAGAGAGAGAGAGAGAGAGAGAGAGAGAGAGGATTGTTATTGCTACATACGCTTACAGTATTATATCATCTAAAAATGAATTAATTCTTAGAAAAAAATTATGAGCGAAAAATAGAAAGCAAAATGAAAATTATAACACTTCAGTGAGCAATGAAGAAAAAAGAAGAAGAGAAGCATTGAACATAAGTCTATGAGAGTAAGCGAGCTTTATCAAATAAAATTTGCTATTCGAGACGCTCTATTTGCTCTCGTCGCATCATTGATATTGAATATGAGTAGAATGAAACACGCAAAGTTAGATATATAGTACCTTCATTTGAATTTGTAGAATTAGTAATAAAATATAGGCCTCTGTTATTATTATTTATTTATTTTAAAAGCTTCTTGTTATTCTAATACTATCAATGGGAAAGTGTGTTTATTGATTCATGCACACAGCATGGGCACAGTTTAATATGATTTTAGGCATACATAGTTTATTGAGATTGAAAAGGTTACTTTTTACTGCAGAGACACCAAGACACTGTTCTCGTTTTTTTTATATTTTGTATCTTTTATCAAATAATTGTAGTATATAAAGTAATATAAAATAAAGAGTATCCTTAATTTTGACCCGGATAACCAGCTATTATCATACCAAATTTCATCAAAATCTGTGCAGTGGTTTTTTCGTGATGCGTTCCCAGACAAACAGACAAAAATTCTTAAAACTATAGATTCGGCCTGTGCATCGATAATAATGACTATTTAACGTATTATTTTTCGGTAGATATAATCTATCGAAGTGAAACCGAAAATTGTGAAATGGAAGAATTTACCATAGAGTTACAAAACTAGTACAGTAGGCATTATTCGGTAGAACCCTTTTATTCTTTCTCTCTAGGTTGGTTAGGTGAGGTTAGTGATCCCCCCCAACGTGCGTTCACCTTGTCGTGGTGGGGGGGCTCAGTAGTAGTAGCGAAGCTAAGAAACGCACAGGGAGGTTGCCCACTTCGGTGGGCGGTGGGAGGTGGCCCTCTTCGGAGGGCGGTGTACCTTGCGGGTTGCTCCTGGTACTTCTCTGATAGCAGAGTGGACCTTGGAGCAACCCCATGGTTGTGCTGGTCTGCTTTGGCAGACCTGCCGTCGGGGCGTCGTAGTTGAATGCGTAAGCGATCCTGCGACGCCCCATTAAGACGGGGGAAGGTTTTGTTGGGTTTTAGTGGGTAGTACTGGCTGTATTACGCCGGTGAGTCCCACACGTCGTGCGTAAATGCAAGGTCAGGTTAGTGACCACAAGCAAGCAAGAAAGGCGAGTGCCATAATTATGCCTACTGTAATAGTTCCGAAGATGACGGTGATGGACGATGGTTTTATAGAAGTGAATCATATATATTGATTGGCATATTATGGGTTTATGTATAAGTATATCTAAATGTATATTTTACATCTGACTAAAACCAGAAGTGGTCGCTTGTTAATAATAATATTCTGAACATTGAGGTGGCGATCAATCACCTAACGTTTTCTTATGTTCGTCAATCCTGCTTGTGTTTCATAATTAATACCTCGTTTGTATCGTAGATCCCTTCTTACATATAATTACTAATCTATGATGATGATATTGAAAATAGATAATATCGGCCTAACATACGCCTATGATCATAATACAACTTTGATCAT